CCGGCCCCTTTGGGAAGAGGATCGCCCGGCAGCGAGGCAAGAAAGCCGAGGCTCCCCCCGGACTGCTAGGGCTGTTGTGAGCTGAGGGGGCGCTCCTCAAGGGGCAATCGAGGGGCATTTACAGAGGCGCCTCTGCACCCCTGGCAAAAAAAAAGTGTTCTGCGACCGCTTACTTCGCGTAATGGACGAGCCGCCCCTGTGTATAAGGGGCCTTATATAATCCGGTTTGAAGTGGATAATTTGGATTGCATAGGGCAATGGAGAAGTGAACTCATATAATCAGCAAGTTTTTTTTAAAAAAAATGTGCTATTTCAATACATGAACTGTTAGTTCATGATCTATATAAATAAAATTGTAATTGTAATAAAATTGTAACTCAAAAACTACTGGACGAATTGACACAAAATTTGGACACAAGACACCTAACAACCCAATGAGTGATCATCATTCAAAAGTGTCGAACCTGACTCAGCACATCGAAGATGGCTTTGAAAGGCAGCAGATCACAGGAGCTGTCTTCATAGCCCTGTCAGCAGCCTATGAGACTGTGAACCACCGCTGCCTCCTCCTGAGAAAAATGTCTAACTATCTAGGGCTGGGCGGTTTCGTTCGTTAATTTCGTAATTCGTTATTAATTCGTTATTTTTTTGATAACGAAGCGATATTGAACCATTCAGGAGCAACAAAACGAAACGAATTTTTAAAATTTATTTCGTAATTGTTTCGTAATTGTTTTGAAATTGTTTCGTTATTATTTCGTTATTATTTCTGTATGTCTGGTGCAAGTTTTATAGCTGTTGTTTGTTTTATCAGTGATAAAAAAATAAATTATCACACCAACAGTCAACAACAGAGGGAGAGGGAAGCTTCAGAAGTTCCCCCTGTCCCATTTGGAGGGTTTTTTAGCGTATTGCGCAATCGCGTCCGCCATTAACGAATCGATTCGTTATTGTTTCGAAATTGTTTCATAATTTCCGAAATTTCGTAAATATCGAACTTTTTTAAAGAAAAATTTCGGAATTCTTTTAAATAACGAAATGCAAAAAACCCCTAAAAACGAATCGAGTTTAGAAACAAATTTTTCCGTGGTTGGACAGCCCTAATAAATCTCACAAAGGACGACCACCTCACCCGCCTCATAGGAAACCTGCTACAAAACAGGAGCTTTTTGTTGAGTTCCAGGGCCAGAGAAGCAGATGGCGGAAACAGAAGAACGGCCTGCCTCAGGGGAGCGTGCTTGCTCCATCCCTGTTCAACATCTACACAAATGACCAGCCACTGCCAGAAGGGACAGAGAGTTTCATCTATGCTGATGATCGTGCCATCACCGCTCAAGCAGGGAGCTTTGAGATGGTTGAACAGAAGCTCTCCGAAGCTCTAGGTGCTCTTACTGCCTATTACAGGGAAAACCAGCTGATCCCTAACCCATCTCAACAAACTACAAATCCCAGGATTATGTAGGATGCATTGCACCATATCAATAGCACAACATATGCTTTGCAGTGGTTTGGTTCCTAATTTAAATTCGGAACCAAACCACTGCAAAGAGTGGTTTGCTATGGTTAGGAAGCTTTGGTGGAGATGCTGCAAATTCTGTTTAGAGCTTCCTAGCTGCACATCGCGAAACGACAACACGTCACCTAAGTTTGGACCCTCATAGAGTAGACCCATTGAAATAAATGGCATTGTCTAATCACCACCGCGGGAGTATTATTGTGAAAATAAAACTACATTTGGCCATAGTTTCCATGTTAAAGAAGGTGGCCATCAGACCTAAAGACCTAAAGAAGGCGACCATCAGACCATCAGGCCATCAGACCTAAAGAAGGTGACCATCAGACTTAAACCTGTTATACAGATATGTCCCAATGTTGTTTTTTTTTTAAAAAAAAATAGATCACAGAGAATTGGGCCAAGCAAATCTTCCTGGAATCTGCTCAGATTTTCCTAAAAACAATGAAAAAAGGCATGAAGTGGGGAGAGATTCTGATATGAGCGACTCAACCAACCATGCTTGATGTGTTATCGAAGGCTTTCATAGCTAGAATCACTGGGTTACTGTGAATTTTCTGGGCTGTCTGGCCATGTTCGTAGCATTCTTTCCTGATGTTTCTGTCAGGAGTCCATTTCCGATGGCATGAAGATATCACAAATTCCCTCCATGACATCCTGACTGAGTCATCCTTTTTCTGCTTCCCTGGAGACTGGGACGCAGAACAATGGCTTCAAACTACAAG